CCGAGACAATCCCGAGGTACAGTTTACTGTCTTTATAAAAACGCTGGTAATAATTGCTGAAACGACCGAAAATGGTTTCAAACAATTTACGCTGCAGTTAAATTGAACCATTATAAATAATTAGTGCAGATCAGTATAATGAGATTGCTGAAACCAGGCGTAAATTTAGCATAACTTTACTGAGCTGCTTTACTACCTTTTTAAGTGTGATTTACTATCTTTTTCCATATATATATATTTAGGAAAATTTTATCGATCTTAATGGTCGCGGAAAATTTAATTCGGTGTTCAGATTTTGCAAGTTTCTGCCTAAAGGATAATACATTAGCATATGTATGTTTCAGTTTAAACTAAACGCTTCAGTTTAAAGCCAGAAAGTCTGAAAATTTACAGTTCAGTGAACGTGAGCGTCCATGCAGCTGATCTTCAAAATAATAGGAAAATGCTAAATAAATCTGAAAACGTCTTAATTGGTCTGCACCATGATAACCTGAATGTAAAATCATGTATAACAATTAAAGTGACTTATTTATCGTGTAATGAGATTAACAAAAATAACGCTCGGCGTCGCCCACAATAAACCTGACAATAATTGCTGCAACGCATTTGATGCGTTTGAAAAAAGTTTGGGTATGAGATCCCCGCAAGTTAAAGGAAACTTGCTCCTGACATTCATGACCACATCACCCAGAGTGTGAATTTCTTGTTAGACGTCGTTGGGGGTTTATCAATCACAGCCTTACATGTTCTATGCTGCGACAATCTAATGTAGCACCGAGCCTCCTAGACTACCAGTATATTTATTATTCAGCAAATAGACATAAAGACATATCCACATAAATTAAACCTTCTAATGTGGTGGTGGTAGGGGTGGGGTGGGGAGGGGGTGGGGGGGTAAAAGATTAGAAGGTATTCACATTTCAACCGTTTGGATCAAATAATTATTCCCCTCAAACCATCTAAAAATGCAATCAACAAAACTTGTTGAAAAATAAGCTGGTCATATTTGATCGGTTTTAGCGTTTGCTGCGGAATCTGTCTCTCTTTTGCTGCAGTGTTAACGTGTGACAAATATAAACACCACAGTCTATGAACCAATAACTATTATTTCAGGTCTCCTATACTATACACTGAACAGGAAGTCACGCAAAGACTTACTGCAATGTCAAGTACACCGCAAAACAACCCCCCTCTTCTATAAATGCAAACTTGCAAATCACTTCACATTTTTTTTTATTTCCCAGATCATCTGCCAAAGAGCTTTACGAGGTTCTGGTTAAAAATAACACAACGGTATGGATTGTAAATTGGTCCCACTGAAAATATATATTTATATTGAAGGTTACCAGTCAAAATACAAACTGCGGAAACTGCACAAATAATAGTCGCCGTTTAAAAATCGAGAATTCCTTTCACTGCTAATATATGCTTTCAGAAACAAAGGAATGGGTAATGATTTCGAAGTGCTTGTGCTGGATCAGCTCAGAGAGAGGGGGGGAAAAAAACAGCTCTGAATTGTCCGCGAGGCTGGAGTTTACTTCTTGATCGACAACAGGTTGATCCGAAGTGCATCAGCCACCGCCGCGCTGCCTTGATCTGAGAGATGTCAACTGCAACCTTTGGTCCGAAATCAGATAAGAATCCGTGTGTTTTCTGCTGCCTCTGTGCCCTTTTCCATACACACCTTGTATTACAATCCAATGAGCTTTACATTCAATTGAAAGTGTGCCTCTGCCGTATAACACAAAAAAAGACCACAGCAAATAACATGCTCCAAGAACGTCTTCGCTTGATTTTTTTTTCAACAAAAAAAAATGATGGTTATTTTGCAGGCGAGAGCCGTCAGAAAATAGTTTTAAAAATAATCATTATTTTACAGGTTAGCTACGAAACAGAACCAAAGATTGCTAACACAGGCAAAGTTGTAAACAAATACACATGTTTATAACCAATGCTTGGTTTACTACTAGTTCATATCGGTTCTCTAACAGTGGAAACAAATAACGAAAGGAGCGAATGTTGCATTCGCTGTTTTATGTTCGCTGATGTTGCATTCATAGATCCATATTAATAGAAAAATGCAAACTTTTTTTCCAGTGTGAGGTGAAGGCCCTGTATAATGCTAGATGTGTGAGTGTATGGGGGGGCAGAGCAGAGCCAAGCGCTAAGTGGAAATGATAATCGATTAAAATGAATTAGCCTCCGACATATTTTTATGACTTCTGTGTGAGATTTTTTTCCTTAAGTTTGCTTAATTTACTGTGACAACGAAGTGTGTGTAATTAAAACTGAGCTTCAAAAGGCCAAATCCCATCGCTACAAGGTAATTGGTAATTACCAATGCACAGCTTTATTCGACCAGCACAATAAGTTGTGTAATGACGGGGAATAGCTCTTTGAATCTTTTACAACGGAAGTTTAACGATATTCAAATAACTTCCCGGGACCCCGTTAGGGGAAACACGACCCTTTGAAATTTTCTACAGAGATACATAAACCCTTTTGAAATTAACAGAACCCCTTCGGAATCAATGTTTACAATGCAGTCTGTGGTCACTTGAGATCGCTCTGAGGACGTTTAACATGCAAATGCCTCCTCTTAATGCGCACAGTGCCGAGGGCGAATTAAAGGGGGGAAAGGGTATGAGTAATAGAGGACTAACTTTCTTCCCTAGAGAACAAAATATTAAAGCTGCCGATATCTAAATAAGTTGAAACAATTGTCGTGGTTCTGTGTCGATTTCTTCGATGAGTCGGATATCCATTTTTTGGTTTGCCTACAACACAAACAACTATCACGAAGTGCTTGTGTGGTGGTGAAGGGCAGAGAACCATCGCAATACCTTCTAGTTATACTGCTCGGCGATGCAATGCATTCGTGTTATCCACCCGTCCAGCTCTCAGACTAAATGGAGAAACGCGCGCTGCAAAAAAAAACGCACCGTTTCCTATTTAAAACCTGGGACTTTCGTAACGTTTCATGTTATTTTTGCAAAGTCAGTTTACGTGGTCTTTGCAATAATCTATCAGGCAAGGTTAAACTGGCCACACTTGAGAGATCACTGGAGCCAGAAGCAACCCGAAGCCACAGTTGGATTTGTTGGGGGAAGGGGGGGAAAGGGAGGAGGGGGTTAACTTGCGCTTTAACAAACAAAACTGTTGAATGTTCCTTCGGTGAATTTGCACCTAAAGGAACGTTTGACTTTTGAAGTTTGCTGTACATATATTACTTTATTTTGGTACATACATTTCAGATACAATTAATTTCATGACTGTGCTGAGATACAAAGAAAATGTATTGAATACAGCCTATATGGACATTTTTTTTTAATCCTTTTCTCTCTCCAATAAAGAGCGCGATCAACATCTCAAAAACTGCACCGAACACAACGGATATCCGAAGCCCTATAGCGCTCCGGCGCGTCTTTCAAACTGTTGATAATATCGGTATAATAGGTTCACGCAGTCGTATTTTTACAAGACATTTTATTTTAAAGATTAAAGATAGACTATATCTCGAGTTTATATAAAACGTTAAATATTCCTCCATTTATATATATATAAAAAAAACAAATGCACGCAGACAACAGGTCAGTTCTACTCCAGGGTTTATTCTATATTTTGGGGGTTTGCTCCAAACCCACGTGTTACGAAATATATGCCATTTGTCTTCAGTTAAACTATCTGACTGCCAGTATATGCAAATAAGTAGATACATGCTCCATTAAATAATTAAAAAAATGAAAAAAGCCATTCAACATTTACCAAACATCGTCTGCTTCATTCGTTTAAGATTTCTTGTTCACAAAAATGCAAAAGAAATTCTCAAAGTACCCCCTGGAGTCACCTCAAGACACACAAGTCCAGAACAAAATTCGCAACGAATTCTCCAGCAACATATCACTGTTACTTTTTTTTGACAACAACCGAAATAAAACCCTAAACTTAGCCTCATATATGTTCAAATATTTTCAAAATTTACAGGAAAATACTGTACAAATCGTCTCCTAGACAAATAACATCTCACACATATACACCAGTCGAGTAATTATTTAATAATGAACTCTGGATCAGTTCTCAGTTTTGCAAAGCTTTGCAGCTATTATTTTACATATGATCTCTCTTCCCCTCATTTCATTTTCACTACACAGCGCCGTCGAGTGCATTTGAAATCAACTTACCACTTTATTCCCCCCCCCCCCAAAAAAAAAAATAAGTACCTTAATATACACGTTCAAATACTTATCGAAGAATTTACAGGCGAAAAATACTATACATAAGAATTGTCTCTCGGACAAGCAATGTGTTTCCCTCGCAGCTGCAATGGTTCGAGCTGACTCGGGTAGTCAAGGACCAGAAAATCTCAAAAAGGTTTCGTCCTGTGAGTATTTATGGCGCACTGTTTGATTAAAAAAAAACAAAAAAGGCCACGAGCCCAACAGAAGTTGGAGAAACCTTTGCATCCGGAAGAGCATTTTAAAGCCAAACAAAAGTAAATGGCTGCAGCAGGATTGTTGCATCGGGACATATTTGAGGTGTAAACACGCGCTGTTTTGGTTCCTTTTCTAAAAAGAAAGAGCTCGAAAGGTTTTGTTAACCCGTACACGAAAATGCTCAGATTATCAAAAAACAGTTTTTTTTTAAAAAAAGAAAAACCCCTCTCTCCGGCCATTGGCACCAATTAAAACCTCTCTCAAACTCTTTTGCTGCGACGGATTAAAGTACAGCGACAGTGTGAAACCCGGCGTTTACGAATGGCGAAAACGTAAGAGCCAACAACTGAACTGAACGAGAGGACATTACACCCTCAGGTGCTGAAGACCTGGTGAATGTGTGCAAGTTGTGTTTGCCCTGAGCTGCCTTTTTTCTATGCTATAGCAAAGCAGATTCCGGGTGCATTTGTAAAATTTTTCTTTTTAAAAAAAAGTTTCTTTCTTTTTTTTTTACTTACAGGTAAACCTCTCTCTCTCTCTCTCTCTCTCTTTCTCTTTCTCTCTTTGAATAAAGTTATAAGTATTTTTTTTTTTTTTTTCCTTTGCTTCCTGGGTGCGCAGCTTCACTCTATGCCGTGGTTGTGGCCGTTGAGGGTGACGCCGGGGCCGCTGTGCACCGCCGCCTGGAGCAGGTCCGGGGACTGGCACCGCGGGGTACCGGGGTTGCTGTGCTCGCTGTCGGTGTCGCTGCCCTTCTTGCTGCCGCTGCCCCCGATCCCTGCCGACCCCCCGCCGCCCCCGACCCCCCCTCCGCCCAGCCCGGTACTCTGGTGCGTCTTGACGTGCTTGCTCAGGTGGTCGCTCCGCATGAAGCGCTTGTTGCAGACGGGGCAGGCGAAGCGCTTCTCCCCCGTGTGGGTGCGGAGGTGGCGCTGCAGCTCGTCCGAGCGTGTGAAGCGCTTGCCGCAGAACAGCCAGTTGCACACGAAGGGTCTCTCGCCCGTGTGCCAGCGCAGGTGCGCCTTCAGGTGCGACGTTTTGCCGTAGACCTTCCCGCAGCCCGGGATGTGGCAGCTGTGCAGCCCTTTCCTCCGCAGGCTGGCGCCGGCCGGCCCCAGGCGCTCGGCCTCCTGGCAGTTGGGGCAGTCGCAGGTCGCTCTGCCCGAGTAGCGCCGGGCTGAGGAGCGGGGGGAGCCTCCCAGCGCGGCCGGGCTGCCCAGCATGGAGTTGGCGCCGAGCGGCGAGGGAGCCGAGTCCGGGTACGAGGGGGGCAGGACTGGCTTGAAGCCCTCCTGAGCGATCAGGTGCTGGCTGGTGGTCAGCAGGTGGGACGATGCCCCGTTGATACCCGCTGTGCTGAAGGCCGAGTGGCCGAGGCCGGAATAGTCCGAGTTGTAGCCGCCCAGAGGGGAATGCAGGGAGGACTGCAGGCCGCTGGAGTGCAAGGTGGACTGCAGCGCCCCGTTAGGGTTTTGAACGTCTATCCAACCCGCCGTTCCCGGGTGCACGTCCCACCAAGTCGAAGCGCTGCCGCCCACGTCCCCTGCGATCCCGGGATGGGACGGTTTGAACCAGGTCTCGTACGGATGTGCCATGCCCACCCTGGGGTAAATGCCTTGTAAACTGTTCTGCAGAGTGTCCACCGAGGTGTGAACTTTGGAGATGAAGACTGACTGGCCAGGGTCCTGGGAGCTGCTGGACACCGGAGACTGGAAGACCGAATACTCGTTCGCAAAGGGCGAGGTGGACGAGGTGTTGGAGGTGAGAGAGAAAGCGCTGTTTCCCGTGTTGACACTGAAGGAGTCTGACAGTCCTGACCCGTTCCTGGAGCCCGACAGCCCGAAACCTGAAAGGCTCGAGCCGCTGTTGCAACTGGAAGCTGATCTTTTCCAAGGATGGAATCCTTTCCCAAAGGACGAGTTATCCGACAGAGATGGAGACGGGCTGGGGCTGCCGATTTTATTACATGTAGCAGCCAACATTGCCAGAGGAGTTGAACCTAACCTCGGTTCTTCCTGCAGAAGAAAATGCAAACAAGAAAATGCAAACAGTTGCAATAAACTAAGTTGGACGGTAACCCACTCACAGCATCCGATTTCACAACCAGACCACAAAGGCGCAGTTAAAGAAGCGCTAGAATTTAAAATTCTCTCGAATAAGTAGCAATACTGCTGGTAGTACTGCTGTTACAATAGATCAATAGGTTTTAAAAAAGACTTGCAGCTAGAGATTTCCAACGTAAGGAAGCAGCGTATTAGCATTTATGGTGTATTGGGGGGGGGGGGGGGGGGGGGGGAGTCTTCCTTTAATGGTTGTGTAAACTTGCTGCTGGAGTTTAATAATCAAAGAGAGATAGGGCGTCACTTCACAAACAGTAGCAAAAAAAAGCTCAGTTAAACATACCTGTAGAACGCGGAAGATGGTAAGAATAAATCGGAAGGTAATTTAAAATTTCACTCTTGCTGACATGTGAAAAAAAAAGGAAAGCTGGCCTCTATTTCTCTTTCTCACCGTCTCGGTGGGATCGCGCTTAGAGGATGGGATGTTCGTGCAAATGCCCCTGAAGAGCTGTGCCAAACCAAAATGCGACTTGGCCCTCCTTTTACCTCTTTTGCTTTTTTTAAAAAAGAGAGAGAGAGAAGAGAGAGAGAAAGAGAGAGAGAGAGAGAGAGGGGTGGGGAGGGAGGGAGAGGGAGGGGAGAGGGGGGTCTCAACAGGAGACTGATAGCCCTGTCTTGACCGCTTTTTTTTTAACCCCTCTGGATCCGACAATCAAGAGCTAATTAAACCAGCAAGAAAATAATCCTTAGACTCACCCCTAGAAGTGAAGTTGCCATCACACACACAAAAAAAAACTGCCCTCCTCAGGAGGATCTCTCTCTTTTTTTTTGGGTATTTATAAATCAGAGCAGTGTTTTAGAGGTGTGCAACACAATGATCAGTTCCGCCCCATTCAACCGCAATTGTAGCGCCTCTCTCGCCTTTGAAGTACCGCTCAGACCCCGGCAGCCAATCAGGGGCCGCGCCGCTCCGGTGACACGCCGCCTTGTGACGTCACCCGACCCGCTCAACCACTCAGCTCCTCGCAAACCCCCCCCAAAAAAAACACACACACACACACAGAGCACAGAGCGCACACCGGGGGCTGCGGGGGCTCTGGGCTCTCACTTGGAGATCCTGTTCAACAACGGGCTCTCCCTTCTTTATATCTATCTATCTATCTATCGATCTATCTATCTATCTATGTATCTATCGATCTATCTATCGATCTATCGATCTATCTGTAAGGGGTATAACGCTTTGCCTCGCCCTGTGCTCTCTCAACAGCATCAATTGTGAGAACCAGGCAGTCCTTGACCCGCCGTGATCTTTAACTTGTTTAGTCCATTAGCATGTCTTTCTCTTGATGCTTCCCCCCCCCCTCTACTCCCCTCTCCCCTCTCTCTCTCTCTCTCTCTCTCTCACACACACACACACGCACATCTCCTATGCTGTTGCAAAGCTTTATGCACATGCAAAAAGATATATTTTTAAGAAAATAGCACGCTGTTGTTTTAAGAGAAGGAGCGAAAAAATAACCGTCTTCTAATTGTTTTGCTTCACACCGTCGTGCTTTGGAGGCAAAGATCATCAACAAAGATGGATCATGTACTTTCATTCCAACAATATTGCCAGCGTTTGATCCTTTGGGCTGGCCATGTATAATTATGCCCTGTTTTTGACACGAGCCCTTTGATACTTCCGTGTTTTGGAAGATTTGTGTTAAAAAAAATCTTTACTGCTAAAAAGACAACTTTGAAATGCTGCGATTCTGTCTGCGTGTTCTTTCAGAACCTGACAACCGCATGAGGGGATATCTCTATTTCCACAAGCAATGCTTGCTGGTCAACTTGTACAATTGATCCTCACATTAGAACTGGCTGTTTTTGACTCGTTCCGCCAGTTTAACCACGAACGAGTATTATGAAATACAAAGTCACCGCATTGAGGATTTGAAGCAAACCCATTTCGTCACTGAAGTTCCTCTGCCACACGTAAACTGTTGATTTCATACATCAGTGGATTATAAAACCAGTGGGGGAAAAAAATGGGTGGCATAGAATGAACTGAAAACGCACAACCTGCAAAACGCAACTATTTTCTACACGTCTACATGTCTATACGCCACACTACGCTCTTATATTTATGTTGCAAGATTTGTTCAAATGCATATGGTAGTTGGAGGGAAACCCTATTAACACTTCTCATTGTTGAAACGATCGTGTTCATGAAAATTAATGCCGTGTTTATTTGAGCTTGCTGATGGTGATGATTTTAGCATGTTGAGAAGGCGTGACTGGACAGCCCAGAAGGAGGAAGGGGTGGGAAAAGGAGGGAACTCCGTTTAACAAATAAAAGAATTAACTTTGCCTTACCGCTCTCTTTAATGATGTGATTTTTTTTAAAAAAAAGTGTGCTATCGATATTTCCCCCCAAATGGACCAAAGTTCAACGCTTTAGTTCTTTCTCAGCGCGACCGATGAATTTGATTTTCTTAAGTCAAATATATATATATATAGTTCAAGCTTTGTTGAGAACAACTGACAATACCATCTGCAGACGATGTACGTGTTTAGCTTTCAAAAGAAATTATCGACTAGTCAGTGAATCCACCTGTATAACCTCGATCACAGTCTCTGATCACAGGGAATAGGAAAATATGAGCGTATGGTCAGGTACACGTGTACACATCGTGACTTAAAAATCACAACTGTTTCCAGTAAATCATCTTGACAAACGAAATGCGAAAAGATTTCCGCCAAGCTACAGCCTTCACTGTTTCACCCACACGAACAGACAATAAGTCATTAAAACAATTGTTTCTCGTCGAGGCTATTGATCGCGATCGATTTTTTGGGGGGTCAACCGTTTTCAAACATTTTTTTGAGGTGCAAACGCCCTTCGCGCATCTGTACGTTTCGCCTCGTTCTCACTCACACATATTCCTTTACATTTATGTCACAAGTTCAGCGATTATCTTCCATAACTTCACACTCTTTATAGGTTCAAATGCTGTAGTGGGAAAAATAACCGTTCTGAGAAATATTTGGAAACAAATAGATTGCGGGACACAGAGGCCAATACACTACCGGTATAGATACTAATTAGACATAGATTCCGATTTTTTGGGCGAAGTGCCTAAAGTAATCATAGCAAAGGGTCTTAATGGGCAATGCATGTGCAGAAGCCGCAATACAATGAATCTATTATAATCACAGCCCTTATACTACGTGGTAATTGCACACACTGTGCATTTGCTGGATGTTATTATTATTTACTGAACGTTTGAATTTTAGTTTTTTTTAAAGTATTTACGATTTGCAATTTCATATCATCTGCCCATTGGATGCCTTTATGCGCGATATTCTCCCCCCCCTCCAGCAAACATATATTTAACGGTTAGCTGGTAAAAGTTTGCGGCGTTTTGATTTTGTTCAGCACAGGAGTTTGCCAAGGGTTTGTGCTCCATTTAAGTTGATTCACTCCTCCAGTCAAACATCCCCCGGTGCTGGCTCTTCACTCGCACCAAAACGACAAAGGACACGGGCAAAAGACTGCGAACCTAATTGTGTTTGACATTCAAAATAATCAGAAATACGGCACCGCCGTCACTTAATGAGACGGTAACCCCTTTGCATTAAAACAATATCCTTCTCGCATTCAGTCAGCCAATAATCGCCAATTATTTTTGAAAAAAACTCTTGCACTTTCCGATTATTTCAAATCAAGAAACTTTTTAATGAAGAAAATACTTGCAACTTTTCAAAGTAATATTTTGACAACTCTGTGACTTGAACTTGTTAGTAAGGTTTATTTTTGGTTGAATATTAACATATGTTGCGGTAAGACTGATGCATGTGTATTTTTTTTAAAAATGTATAGAATATTAATAATTATTTTCATGATTTCCTTTCAAATGTCACTTTTTCCTCCAATACTTGTGGTAACAAGCTTATCCAAACTGGCACGAAAGAGTTAAAAAGCACAGATTAGACTGTCTTATCCAATTGTAGTAACTGCAAATAATTCAAGAGAAAATACTTTCAAGCAGATTTTTTCAGTGTCAGAAGACAGACTTATCATTCCAGCAGAAGGCAAGTTCTCCCCTAATAAAGAAAGCGCGCATTAGCATTCTCCATGCGCAAGCAGCATAAATTTCATTTGAATTTCAAATTTAATAAACCAGGAGGTTTTTAATCATCCCCGGTTTTATTTGTTTGATATTAACATGCTTATTGACCGGGTCTGTTGACCAGTTTGATCATTACAGGACAGCAAAAAGTTAATTAAAACGACCACAGCTCCTTAATCATATCATGTGTCTCATCCATGTCGGTTGCTTTATTACAGGCTATGATTGATAGTTGCACAGATTAATTTCTCTGTTTCTTCGATTTGGAGAACAGCTTTAGGTATCTAATTTACATCCGAAGATCAACCTGAGGCGCATCTGGACATATCTATTACTTAATTTTGCAACAGAAAAATACCGAGACGTTTAAAAACCCGCCGATCAAACCTTCCACCCTCAGTAGCCTGGCCGTTTCTCACTGTCTCCGGGTAAACCGTGAGCTTCAGCCAAATTAAGTTTCCGCTCAGGTTTTCCGATATGATTTAGGCAAACGCCTGAATCAGGTTGTAATTAATGAGACTGGATCGGTGGATGGACGGTTTGCAAAACACTTCACCCCCGGGATATCAGTTATGAAGCTTGTAATAAATTTTGATCTGTTGACACCGCAATTATCCAGTACACATTGTCATATGTTTATCTTTGTAGTTCCAAGGATAATCAAAGCACTTACTTATTGACCTCTCACATTTTGTTTCTCTTTCTGCGTGTACCTACTTATCCCAGGTTCCTGTCACTAGCTTTTCTCTCTTTCCTTTCCCCCTCCCATGCTTTCCGTTTCCTCACAGCCCTCGGTGACTCTCTCGATCCTACCTTCACCTTTCTGCCTGATTCCAGTCTTGCATTGCTCCTTTTCCTCTCGATCCTCCTTTTAGCTGCTTCTAATCTATGTGTATTTGAACGTATTCTGCACTTCCCGACTTCCTACCTTTTTCTCCGTCTCCATTCGATCTGCCACCTCCCTATCTGAATCAACATTTCACCCACTTACATCTTACCATCACTCGCCAGTTTTGCCTCTGTTCCCTCTCTTGCACCCCATTCCTCATGTGTTTCTCTCTTTGCAATTATTCCCCCTGTCTTCCCCCCACGCAGTACAGATACTCTCAGTTTTGACATCTACATATGTCTTTGCTTTCATCATTTGCTTCCCTCTCTCTTTTTGCCTTTCTCGTGTCTTTCCTCAGTTTGCATTTTTTCCTTGAGATTTTTCCTTGTGTGTGTGTGTGTGTGTGTGTGTGTGTGTGATACAAACACACTCACACGTTCTCTCTCTCGCTCTCTCTCTCTCTCCATTATCGATTTGATAGGTTTGAGTCCTGTTAGAAAAAAACACAGTGATACCACAAGGAGATTATCAACCTTTTCCTCCAGACGGTTGACAATTGCAATCGCAGCTCCGGGAAGATAAATGTTACTTTGGGAATAATGTTTAATTACAAATAATCTAGGAACCCGCTCGTCCTCTGGTGGAATCAAAAGATGTGTTAAAAACCTTGTTCAAGGTCTTACTGAAACAAAGAATTACATACAATAAAATGCATTCTACATTTACACCACAAAACAGTTGGCACAATAATTGCCTTGCACTAAATAGTCTAAAATCATTATGATCCCTGCAAATATATAGTGGAAAGCCTATCTATAGACTAAATCGGAGATTAT